CATGTTCTTAATGCAGGACACATCATACTGTGTGGAGTAACAAACAAGGAGGAAAATCGTCTAACGTTGTATGCACTTTGTTTACAAACGAGTGCCTTACAAAGTGCACCACATAAAATCGAAGGGACTTTAGTGCATGATGACGAAAAGTGGGTTGTAGAAAAGTTTGCATGTTCTTGTAAAGCTGGGCAAAGTGGTCGATGCAAGCATATTTCAGCAGTTTTGCTACAATGTTCAAGGTTTTATTTAATCTATGCAGGTTAAACAGATGATATTTTGATATCCTTGTTGTAGGACTTCCCTCGATAAACTTGAAGCAGTTTCGCAAACTGATATTAAATGCACATGGTCTGCTCAGAAAGGCAAAACACAAGATAAATATAGAGCAATTCCTGTTAAAGAAATGCCGTGCATAAAGCAAAGTGATGGTATGAAATTGGACGAGGCAATTTTAATGGGCATACACGATAATTTGGTGTCTAAATTGCCAAATTCAGCATTGGCATTACACAAGTGAGCAATTTAATGTTACAATGTATATTATGTTAATGAACTTTGTAGGGCAGGACGACGTTGCACAAACCTTTCCACCTTTGAGAATGAAGAAGTGTTTACTCCATATGATGAGCATGATGTAGTCATTTTAAATCACGCAACGCAATCAATTTTAATGATGGAATTGTATCATTTTCATGTAAATTTCATAGGTTCTTGTTGTAAAGAATTGTTCGATAAACACTTATTGAAAGATATTGACGAAATATTGCTTAAAACTAAACAGTCAAAAGAATTTTGGAATATTGAAAGAAAATTTAGGGTTACAGGTTCACGAATTTATGAACTATATACGTATAAATCAGATGATTGGCAAAAAAAAGCAAATCGTTATTTTAATCCAATAAGTTTCATGAATAAATTTACTAAGCATGGCATTGAGCAAGAACCAGCTGTTGCCCGACAGATTTTTATGGATGCTACGGGCTTGAAAGTTGTAGAATGTGGATTGGTTGTTTCTCACTTTAATTCCTGGCTTGGTTATTCACCTGATGGAATAATTGTTGACCAAGACGGTAATCCAAAAGAATTAATCGAAATTAAATGCCCATTTGCAGGTATGTTGCAATTTATTATTAATCTAAAATAATTAAATGACTTGTTTTAGGTGCTACAGAGACCATAGGAAGTGTGGTACCTAAATTAAAATACTTGCAACTTGAAGACAATATTTATGAATTAAAAAAAAAACACAAATATTTTGCACAAGTGCAACTTGGGATGGCGATGCTAAATGTATTTAATTGCAAATTTATTATTTATTGTTCTTTTGATAAAAGCATGTTAATTCTAGATGTACCATATAATTACGATTTTTCAAAAACTTTATTGTTTAATGTTAAAGGAAAGTATTTTAAAAAAATGTTACATGTAATGTGTAATACATAAATTGTTATAAAAATATTATTTTAAAAATTTATCCTCTGCTAAAATTGGTGCTGACAAATTAGTAATTGCACAAATAATTATTATAATGTCATCAATGTAGTGTACAAGATTCCACTGAAGTTTCCCTCCTAGAATTTTAAAAATTTTGAGGCGTTGATTAGTGCGTTCAATGTGCACTCTGGCAGATGCTATTTCTTTAGTGAACATTGCTTCTCCTTCGTCAAATTGTGCTTTACCTCGAAGAAATGGTGGACGATACAGCTTAATCTCATACATTTTGCAAATGTCTTCAATTAAAAATCCCTTGTCAACCATAACTGCAGAACCTTTTTCTAATTTTTTGATTAATTCACTTCCGTGAAAAATAATTTTATCCGATGCTCTCCCTCCATATGCTTTACTAACAAAAGTTACTAAACCTGCTGGAGAAACTCCTGTCATAAATTTTACTGTAAGTGCACCTTTATAGTGTGAATAGAACCGTATTCGGCAACATAAACATTTTGGCGTCTGAATAAATATCTCAGTACAGTCTAAGACGATTTGAGTGTCTTGGAACTTTTCAAAACAGATTGGCATGTTTTGTGAATTTTCTATTTTTGACGGAAATACGATCACTGATTTTAAAATGGTGGAAAGTAACTTTATCATTTCTATAAAATAAATTCTGCACAGGACACTACTTATTCCATATAAAACTCCTAGGATAGTATAACTCACATCACATTTTAGTTTAGTAAATGTTAATGACACTCGATCCTTGACACATAGTTTATGTATTCGAACATCTTTATATATGATTGCAATAGACGCACAAATTTCATCCAACAAAATAAAACTATTCAGTCCGGTTAAACTTGTTAAAGCTTTTTCAGTTTGAATAAAGTGGGACAATGTCAACTTTGATGGTGTATTGACTTGAATTTGAAAGTCTCTGAAAGTTTTTGGTTCACTGTTTTGACTTTCAGTTTGTATTAATGTTAATAATGCATCAGCCGCTTGTAGTTCCTCAGTGGTGGGCACTGTGTCGATATTTTCATGACAATTGTCTTCAGTTACAGGATCGGTTGCCGGTATATCCCTTAATTCTTTCATTTGGTTTCGTATTGATAATCTTACTCCACGATTCGATGGTGCTAATTCCTGTACTGAACCATGAACAGGGTTAGGTAAACACATCGTAGGAATAACATTTTTTTTCAAATTCCTCCTTTGACGAACTAAAATACAAAATAAAATCATAACAGTTTCACACTTTTTCATTTACTTACTTGTAAAGAAATCATTTTCAGTAAAATGTAATGAACAAACTTTCATGAATTCACTAATGTTTTTTCCTATTCGAAGTTTAGTTTTCCAAATATATCTGCGATTTACGATTTCCCAAACGCCCAATTTTGTCTGAATTCGTACTGTGTCGTTGACGTTAGGAAATTTGTGGAAACTTATATCAGGGGTTCGCCGCTTCAAAGAGTTACACCCGGGTACACAGCAAAATGTATTCGCCATACCCACTACACTTGTTAATTAATTACTTAAATTTCTCAAAATTTTAACACAAGCAGATTAAACACGATAACAAAGCAAAATAAACGAAATTAAATCACCCTACCATACAAACGGTCTATAACCATTTGTTTGTTTACATATCTTAGGTACGTTTGAGCTTAATGAAATTCCCTATAGATCTGGGCGCCCTATGTATCTCATTTGGCGGCCTTATGTTGCACAGATGTTTGTTGATTGCTTGAATATCGTTAGGTCTACCAATATAATATGTGTGTTTGCTTGAGTTGCTAAATGAAATCCAGAGATCCCACAGTTGTTTCACTACACCTGAAAGGAAAAAAGATAATAGATATTTAATTTTCTGCAGTTCTTCAATGTACCTAATAAAACGCCATGCATATAATCTAGCGGAAATGACCACACAATGTCAAAGTACGGTGTTAATAAGATAGATGCTGGCCCCTTTACTCCATTAATATTAGTAACTTCATAGTTCTGAGCGTGTAACTCTCTCAAGTCTCTCATATGCAGATCGTGTGTTCTTAAAGTAGATGGAGTTTCTTCATGCACATACTTTACACGCTTGATTACACTTGTACCTGAATGGTAGCACCAACTACATCCATAATACCCATTAAATTTCAAACGATTTTGAATTACAGGTCTTGCTACTGAATCCACTGAGCAAAAGAGTGGTAGTAATTTATAAGTCTTTTCTTCTTCGTCAAACCGAACTTTTACACCAATTTCGTAAAGTTTCTTTGCCGTTACATTAAACTCATCTATAATCAAGTTCATTAAATGTACATCTGGTTCACATTTGCCAACCCAAACACCTATAAACACCAACTTATGAAACCGATCTTTTGAACAAATCTCATTAATGAAAAGTTGAACAGGCCACATTGACTTTTTGGAGGACGTAAAAATAGCAGCCCCATCTGTACTAAAGTTGTATGTCAAATCAAACTTTACTTTATTTTTTAAGTTTTTATAAACTTCACCATCATAATAGTCACATATTAAATTATTTTCTGAAGGTTTTGGATCTAATAAGACAGATTCTTTTAACAAATATTCAATCCTGGGTGTCGGATCTATCATTATGTAAACATTTTCACTATTTATGGTTAAATGATGTTCTTCCCGGCAATTTTCATTAGGACAAATGGATATATGATTTTTAAATTTTTTTTTTGTAACACTTTCCTCCAATTTTGTTTTACATTTTGTACAATAAAATGTATATTGAACAGCGCTGTCATCAGGATCGAACATTTTAGACATATAATACTTAGAGGTGTCAAATAAGTCATCATCAAGACTATTTGAACATATCTTAAGCATTTCAAATATATCTTGTTGTGCTTCATTTGTAAATCCGTGTTGTAAACTTAAGGCATATACCATACACATGACATCTTTTTGGGTAAGTTTTGCTTCTTTAAAAATATATTCTTCATTATTATTCCATAACTGTTCAAATGAATCTTCATTTGGAATATTCGTGTGGACATCGACATCTGAATTTTTCTCACTTGGGATTATATGATCATCTATAGTATTTTTTAGGTCATGTGGTTGGTTTATTTCCAAATTATCGTCATTTGCTTCATTTATATCATCACTCTGAGAGTTTTCTAAATTTTGAGCTGAGATACTTGCGGTGTCTACGCTTACCGATATGCCTAGAATAATAACTTTGTTGTGTAATGTTACTTATCGCATGTTATGTACAGCAAGATTCACAAGAAGTGGGCGTAGGTGATAAAAATAATATTTACTAACTTATACCTAGTAAACTTTGGCCCAATACTCAATAGATACTGAGATATTGAAATTATTAGAATGTTATCTGAAACGGAAAGTTCTGTTTGTTGCAGAAATTTGCGAACAATGCTGTACAATTGACAATATTCACAAATTTAATGTGGAGTTTGAACACTTACTATCGGCTATTAATACTAAAGAGCAATAGAGCATATTATAATACCATTAGTCAACACATTTTTTGAATAGAAGTCTAAAGAAAAGCTAATATTTACTATGTATACCATGTTGCAAAGTTGAGAGTGAGAAAGTAATAAGTCTTCAAGGGCTAATGATCAATATTTACAATCAATATTTATCATCTTACCAACTTGTTTCCAATGTCGTATTGTTCTTTCACTAACTAAGGGATTCACATTTGGTACAAGGTACTGCTTATTAACTCTTTTGCGTTTGCGAAATTCTGACATTTTCTGAAGTTCTCCTAGCCGCAAAAGGAACTTTAAAACAATGAATCACATTTCTATTTATAGAATATTTTCCCTAAACTTTCTATAGGTTTTTATAGAATATGGTTGGGAAGTGGTTGAATTCTATAGGATATAAATAAGTTTCTATTGTGTATTTATCCGTAACGAATGAATCCTATTGGTATCCAGTGGACTTTCCTAATCAAATCTTAATAAGTTTCTATTGGGACAAATTTCATTGGAAATGGTTGGGAAATGAATAATTTGTATGGGAATGCTGATTGGAGCGTATTATATTGTAATGTGTAATGATTGGGTCCTATTGGCACATAACGGAATTCCCAAGTCATATTTTTATAAGTTTTGATGGGGTAATTCTCAATGGCAATATACACATCGTCGATCCGGAAGAAAAGTGACACAACTCAAAAAACACGTATTTTAAGTTATACGCAGGAAATTACTTAAAAAGTTATCAACTTTGATCAGGAAAAACGTATTAACTATATTACACCTTATGACCGCTAGATGGTACAAGTGTCGCTTTTCTGTCAGTGCAAATAATATTGATGTGCGTCAGCAAAAGTGTCACATTTTCAGTTACGCGTTTGCTCTGCGAAAGACAACATACACTTAACACTATTGCGAGAAAAACGACCTATTTTGAGAAGTGACTTCAGTTTGTGCATTTTAGTGCAAGAAAAGTGACATTTTTTAAGTTGTGACGGTTTTCTTGTTT